ACTTATGAAAGTAAAGTTATGATATCAATGTATGATTGAATGATATGGCCATTCCGGTACAATGAAATGAAATGAAATGTTATGATGTGAACTCTTACCGGATTTTAAAGTTATGCGACGGTATGATATTCTGACACGTCTTAAAATTATTATTCGGGATTGCACCATTGAATTATGATATCCTATTGAGTATTCCCATGTACTCACCCTTTTCCTACACCTTACAGGTTAGATCGGGTCGTGTCGGAGCGTGATGGTTCGATGGTGTGGTTGTGCCTGCTTTTGCTGATGAAAATCTTGATTTCAACGAGTAATTTTATTTCTTGTCATAGTCATTTATTTTGAAAACTGATTTATCGTTTGTGATTATTTGTTACATGAATATTTTTAAATTATGCTTCTATTTAAAGTCTGAATTAAAATTGTTGGATTTCCTTAGCGTGTTATTTTGCTTTGATCTCCGTGCTTGCATGACGAAAAATTAGGAATCTCGACTTCTTTAAAATATTTTATTCATTATTTTCGTGTCTGATTTAAGAGTAAGGGTCATTTCACTTTAAATGAAACTCAAATTAAATATTATTTTTCTGCCAATCTCACTGTTCAAGAATTTTCTTCACTGTCAATTTATGGACTGGTGGTCATATCCAAATAAATTATGTCCTGTAGCCTTGTGGTGTAAAGTGTTGAATTTCTTAAATAAATGATTCAGCTTTTGTACTATTCTCTTAATTGGGCAGTGTCCCACACCACACTAATGAAAGACAAAAGCATATCTTTGACTGGGAATTTTGATTATCCTATGTGTATATGGGATCCATCATTGCGTATATTTGGATGTGTTAAGTCAAATGAAAAAATAAATAAATTATTTCACACGTATAATGTGAGTTCTGTCTTGAATTTTTAAAGTGCAGATTAATTTTATGTGCCTTTTTTTTATACACGTTAAAGATATAACGTAGAAAAAAAATATATATATATAAATTAATATATTTTATTATTTTTTTTTTTAAAATTGAGTAAATTACATCTTCATAATTATATATGTATTATGGCATTCCAAGTTGCCCAAATTCGAATGAAAAATTTCAGTATCGATTCAACCCTTTAAAAAAAAAAAATTGGGTCGTTACACAATTTGACTTGGAATTTTGCACAATTTTATAACATTAAGTTTAAAATTAAAATTAAAATCAAAATTGACAATTAATTTTAACCACATATTTTATAAAACCCACAATTTTTCAATCACACATTTAATCAGTTTTTATCAAAATATACTAAAATTTTAATTTATATTCGTACCAAACAAGGACTAATTGAACAAGTCGGATTACGGCCACGGCCCCATAATAATCTTTCCTACATTGATCTAGCTTTATCTTATCACGGGTGAATGATAAATTGTATGAATTTCGAGATATACTTTGTCCATTATCAGAGTTTTTATCCAAAGGAGCGAAGTATGCATTGACTGACAAATCTAGCTTCAAGTTTAAATAACTAGAAATAAAAATACAAGAAATAAAAGTGTTCTTCTTTCGCTACACCTCTCTCAGTCCTGAGTTGTACTACACTTGCAAACATGGTTTACATAATAAGTTGACAAAATAACATTCACATCAATTATTTCAAAAACAAGTTTTTAAATCATTTAAAATCAATGGTTTGAATTTTGCCAACACATTTTTTGTCAATCAACTTTATAAAGGAACTTTGTACAAGTAGAATTATTGCCCAGCCCTTGAGCCTCACCCAAGCCAACTCTTGGATCAAGACCCACTATTGCCACCTTCCGAAGCTCATGATTAAGATGTTATAACCTTTGTTTGGGCTCTATAATTTCAAAAAAATATTTATTTTTAATTATATATTCTCCCATAAAATAATGTTACACGTAAATATTAATTTTTTTTCCTTTTTTTAACCATGCATTCTAAAAAAAATACTATATCAAAACAACTTTTCTCCCAAATATTTAAGAAATCCAAACATGGCAAAATGATGTATTAATTAAGAAAATATATCGACTGAATTATCACAATAAAAAAACACTATAAATAGAAACAACACAACCCCACCTTGCTTACTCCTAAAATATTAGTAGCCTGAGAGAAAAATTACTTTTCTCTTATACTTTTTTTTTTCTTTTTTTCTTTCTAAGTGCAAAAGGGTGAAAGCTTGAAACAATTAGGAGCCACGAAGGAAAAAAGAAACACCGTTTTTCTCCTTTCCCTTTTGTTTCAGGGACTCGAAGTTTGAAAATGTGAAATATTGGGAACTCTAAGTAGAATTTACCCTTAAAAATAGTTCTTAACTAATTTGCATAAAGTTTTAGGGATAACTGCAGCTGAGATCCCAAACCTTTCAAAAGATTGCAAACTTTTTTCTAACCTTTCATTTGTTACAACCGTCACCCCAAACCTATCAAAACGTTGCAGATGAAGCCACAATGGACGGATTCCATCCATATTTTTGTTAGTTGAACAAAAAATTGAACTTTGACCATATTTTAATCAATTATAGAAGGACAAAATGTGTATAATAATCTCCTAAACACCCGTGCTTAACTTATGTTAAGCACCAGTGACATAACACATCATTTAATTAGTGAATCATTAAATGCATAAGACCTACCATTAACTTATTCACTAGTTAAATGATGTGTCACGTCACCGACACTTAACATAAACTAAGTACTAGTGTTTAGGAGATCATTTCTGTGTGTGTCCATATATATATAAAGTAAAAAACTTGAATCAAAAACCAAAAAATAATAATAATAAAAGGAAAGGGGAAAAATAATCTTCACCCTCACCACCAACCCCCTTCGCCTCATCTCAAAACCAGAAATCCAAAGCTACCACCACCTCACCCAAAACGGACCACCACTTCCAACTCCATCAAAGGGAGCTAAAAACTAATTTCCAAAGGGAAAAACCTCAAATTTGGGGGGGGGGGGGGGGACAAAAAAAAAAAAAACAAAAAACTATAATTTATGAGATTCACAATTAACTACAACCATTAAAGAAATTCATGGTTTGATTGTTAAAAAAATTGTTCCAACCAAGGCCTTTAGTACATGCTCTATAGTTTGGGGACAATCGACTTGGGTTCCAAAATTGTGGAAGAGCTAAAGAGACACAGGGCCATGGTTTGAATTCCAATTTCAAATGATATGATATGGATGCCCAATAGAAGATAATATTGATTTTGATTTTGGGGTTGGGAAGGGTAAGGGTGTAGTGGTATTGGGGCGATGTGTGGTGGCATTCATGATTTTGATTTTGGTGTTGGGGAGGGATGAGGGGTATGGTGATAGGTGAAGAAGAGGACTATATTTATTTCCTTTTATTTATTTTCGTTTTTAGTATTTTATTGTAATTAATTCAGTCAAATTCCAATTTTTTTGTGAACTAACAGAAGTATGGATGAAATCCGTCCATTGGGGCTTTATCCGCAACGTTTTGAAAGGTTTGGAGTGACGACTGCAACAAATGAAAGGTTAGAAAAAAGTCTGCAATCTTTTGAAACGTTTGGAGCCTCAACTACAATTATCCCTAAATTTTATAGCTACTTTTTTGTCAGTGAACGGTATAACCAAGTCAAAGAGTATTCACCACATCACACTTAGCTCATTATCCAAATTAATTGGACTAATAACTGATTTTAATTAAACAAAGCTCATGTTTGGCCCTTATATTCTAAAATTCATTTTTTCAAATTCATATTCAACCATATAATTTATGAGATTCACAATTAACTACAACCATTAAAGAAATTCATGGTTTGATTGTTAAAAAAATTGTTCCAACCAAGGCCTTTAGTACATGCTCTATAGTTTGGGGACAATCGACTTGGGTTCCAAAATTGTGGAAGAGCTAAAGAGACACAGGGCCATGGTTTGAATTCCAATTTCAAATGATATGATATGGATGCCCAATAGAAGATAATATTGATTTTGATTTTGGGGTTGGGGTT